TTTTTTTTTTTTTTTTTTTTTTTTTTTTTTTTTTTTTTTTTTTTTTTTACCGGGGTAGTCATTTAGATGGGTTATATCAAAACACTCAATTATTTATGTAGTTGAGTTCTAACTCCCACGTTGATCGAGTAGGTAGAAATTTCTACCACTAGCACTCACCACTAAATTTTTTACAAATTGTTATTTCTTTATTTATATATCTTTGGGAGAAGTCTCCTCTCCCCCTCCACTAACCTTCTTACAATAATAATAATATTATTATTATTATTATTATTATTATTATTTTGGAAAATACTCTATCTGCCCTCTTTCCACTAATATTTTGACAATTTTTTGTTGGGAAACAAATTTTTGTATGTAGTTGTTTGGTTAGTATGGTTCTTGGACCTTGAGATGGGACCACGAATATCAAAACGTTTAGTTCATCACATGCATTCCTGACCACCAAATTTTAGCATACGATCCCTTGAAAGATAACGTGAACCATTGAAATAAGATTTTATGATATTTTGTTATGTCGTAGAAATTAAGCTGATTTATAACATAGTACTGTAGATATAATATCGAATTCATTTTCAAGGTTGGAAGTTTAATTCTACGTTATTGTACAAAAGAAAAGAAAAAGGAAAGGGTCATTTTCATTTTGATTAAAAAATAAGTTTTTAAAACATGTCTAATTTAAGGGTCATTTCCATCTGGATTAAAAAATAAGTTTTTAAAACATGTCTAACTTATTTCTAGTTTGAATTAGTTAGGGAATATATGATATTCATAATCTTAAGAATATATTAGTTAGGAAATATATCTTAGATATCGTAATCAATAGTATATTTTATTTTATTATCAGGACTTAGTTAGTTTATATTTTCTTTGTAGATATTATTTAGTATCTTGTATCCTATTTAAAGGTTGTGAATATCAATGAAATGGAACATTCGATCCCAATTCTTTTTCTTATTCTTAGATCTGTATTCTTTAGTTGAGTAATAATATTTTCATATCTACTCACACTTTTGAGTGGTAGATATTGCGTCAAAACAATCTTGAATTCGTTGAAATCAAGTCCACCCAATCACGCACAACACAACACATTTTGATGATGGCTATTATATTGCTTGAACTTAGAACTCATCAATTAATAATCGACCTCCAGATATTCATGACATTATCAGTAACCTCTCTGAGTAATTTCTCGTTAACCATAGTTAAGATGACAGTATCAGTGTCATCAGTGAAAATTTGAAAGTAAAAAAGTAGATTTTTGCAGTGTGATCCCGAGGAAGCTGGTGCATGCGACGCGATGGGGGACTGATGAACTCATCTTTTGAGTACTTTTTTTAAAGCTGGTGGATTGGAGCGACAGGAGGACTATCCTTCCACTGGGAGGTATCGTCGCCCTTGCAAATTCCAAAGCGGCATAATCGCTGCCTCGGTAGCCAACTTCAGTGTCATCTCTAAAGATGCCGACCAAAGTGCAGCAAACTTGATCAAGAATGGCCCTTCAGCAAGTAATGAAATTCTTCTCCATTATTATCATCAATTTTTAAATGCGTTATTTGATTTCTCAACCTGCTTTAAACCTCATTGGTGATGTGAAAAACTGAAGCTAATGATTTGGGCCTTTTCTTTTAACGTAGACATTGTTTGTTAACCATTTCCTTTTTAGTTTTCTACTTTATCTTAGACCGCTGCTGTTGGAGTCGATGCAATTTTCCTGCAGACCTACGTAAGAGGAATTTCATGCGTGGGTGAAAACTGGGGAGAAAATGGCTACTACTTAATCTGCAAGGGCAACAATATCTGTGGATCTGAGTCGATGGTCTCGTCTGTGGCTGCTACCCCAAACTAAGCCATTGTTAGTGCCATTATATTAAGGTAACATGCTCGGACTCTGTAAGTATGTTTATATTATGGGAAATGGGTTGTTACATCAAATGCTATGAAACTTGTTCATTCTCTTGGCCAATAGTTATTGCTAGTTATTGTTGTATAATATGTATGTTGCTCTGTGGTCAATTATCAATTGATCATGAGCCTCTGGAAGCAAGTATGTTGATTGAGTTGGGTCTTTTAGATTTGGGTTTTTCGTCTTTATTTTTATTTCCTTTCCAGTTTTTGAGTGGACCTTACCCTACGCTCCTGCCAATTCTCTTGGCGAAAGTTGTCCTAATGCCATGGGCAGGGGGAGACCTTTTGGCTAATGGACTGTTAGTTGAAAGTCTTATTCCTTTTCTAATCCCCTCGAGATTCCGAATACTCTAGAAAAAAGAAAAAGAAGTTGGGGTGGGACAATGAGGTAGAATGAGAGCTTAAAAAAGCTTGAATGCTCAGTCAATTATGGGAGGAAAGAAAAAAAAACTTCAAGAGAAGCTGAGAACTATGTGGTCTAATGTTGAAAATCGTCTCTTTGATCGTGAGAGGGTTGAGGAGAGGGAGGAGACTTAAAGGGAGATTGGTTAAGGAAGTTGTTTCTCAAGAGAACTCGAATATTGTTATTTGGATGGAGACTGAACATAGTCTGTTTTGTTGTCAATTCCTTTGAAAGTACATGGGAGAAAAGGTGAGTGGAGTTGGAGAGAATTGACTTTGAAGGGAAATCATGGGGGTATTTATTCCGTAGAATAGCGGTTCTTTGTTTGCTAGTGAAGTGGAAAAATGAATTTTTTTTTTTTTTGTTATGATTTCTTTTTTCTTTCTTTCTTTTTTTTTTTTTTTTGGAAAAAGAAGGGTTTTGGGCACAAACGGAGGATGTGGATGTGAAATTGTATGAGAAACGTGAGTTATTCTTTCCTTGTTAATGGTAGTTATAGGGGTAAAGGTTTGGTGTGGAGAGGCTTAGACATGGAGATCCTGTAACCCCTTTTCTTGCTTGTTCTTGCTTGTTTCGAGTGTTCTGAGCACGCTTGTTACTAAAAGTATTGTTGGAAAAATCATTGAGCACTTTGAGCTTGAAAAGGAGAACACGCCTATTTGCCACCTTCAATTTGTAGTTAATACTATTTTATTTTATTTTATGCTCTGAAAATTTAGTTTTGTTCTTAGATCTTGAATCATATCTTAACGTTCTTTGAAGATTTGTTTGAGCTTAAGATTAATATGAGTCAATGATAAAATATGGGGCTTAATTGCAATGATGAGAAACTTAGGAGTTGGGCATAAGTGAGTTGTTAAGTTGGATCATTTTCCTTCTCGTAGTTGGGTCTCCCTCTTGGAAGTAATTTCAAATTCACCACTTTTTGAAATTCGTCGGTAGACAAAGTTAGAAAAAGAGTAGGCTCTTAAAAGAAATATTTTCTAACTTTATCTGTGCACAGTTTGCAAGAATATTGAGAAGTTTATCCATAATTTCTTTGAAAATGGTAGAAAAAGAGAAAAGGGTCAACCTTGGTTAGGTGGGAGGTTAGTTAACTGGGGTGAGGGTTAGAAATTATTTTCTTACACCGTTTTTGTACAGCTGGAGCCGTTTTCTTTAATTAGCCTTGTTGGGCTTGATTTTTGCCTTTTTTTTTTTAAGAAAAAATAATTAAAAAAAAAAAAAGATCCATTGCCTTGTACATACATTGATAGTGTGATAGGAATACTATATAATTGAAAGTTTGAAAGTTTGCTGCTCTGTTAGGTTTGGATTTTAATCACTTGAATTTAGTCACTTTGTATTGCTTGATTCTCATTTTATAATAAATTGATTTTAATCACTTTTTAGTACATTAATTGTTGATAATTAGTTGTTTGATTCTCATCTTATAATAAATTGATTTTAATCATTTTTTAGTACATTAACTGTGTAAGTAGAATATAGAGGTTTTGAATCTCAGAAATACATATCAATTAACATTTTATTTTGACAATTAATTTCAAGCTATGTTTTCGGTGGGTTTGCTATGTTTTACCGGTGGGCTTGGCAAGAAGCTAGCAAACCAAGGTAATAAGGTTTGTTTAGGCTACTTGATATGCCTTGTTTTCATGACATGATAATCATTTCATTTTTAAAAATATTTTAATATTCATACTCAATTTAAAATTAAGGAATGTTTTTTAAAACTATTTTTTTAAGCCGTAACTTTTTTTTTAAAATAAAAACTTGCATCTAATTTTAAAACTTTTATTTAATAGAAAACTACCTCTAATTTTAGTTTTTAAAAGTATTTTAGTAAACCATATTCAAAATTTTAAAATTAATTTCAAGCTTTGATAACCATTTCATTTTTTAAAAGAAAATTATAAATAAAAAGTTATACTTTTTTTTTTTAATAAATAACTACTTTTTAAAAAACATTAAATAATCCTACTCATAATTTTAAAATTAAAGTGTTTTAAAACTATTTTAATCCTGCTTTCATACCCATTTCATTTTTAAAAGTTAAACTTATAAATAAAAAACTATAAACTTTTTTTTTTTATAATAAAAAGCTACATTTTAGTTTTTTCTAGTTTTTAAAAATATTTAATAATCATACTCAAAATTTTAAAATTAAAGAGTTTGAAAACTATATTTTAATTTTTTAAAATCCTGTTTTTGATAAATATATCATTTTTTAAATTTGAACTTATAAAAATAAAAAACTATCAACTTTTTTTTATTAAAAATTACATCTAATTTTAGTTTTTCCTAGTTTTTAAAAATATGTTAATAACCATACTCAAAATTTATAAATTGAAGAGCGTTTTTTTAAAACTATTTATTTTATATTTTTTAAACCATATTAAACTTATAAATAAAAACTATAAGCCTTCTTTTCTTAAATTAAAAAACTACATCTAGTTTTAGTTTTTTGTTAGTTTTAAAAAATATTTTAGTAAGCATACTCAAAATTTTAAAAATTAAAGAGTGTTTTTTAAAACTATTTATTTTAATTTTTTTAAAGCCTGATAACCCTTTCATTTTTGAAAGTTTACCTAATAAATGAAAAAACTATACTTTTCTTGAATAAAAAACTACATCTAATTTTATCTAATTTTATCTAATTTTTAAAAATATTTTAATAATCATACTCAAAGTTTTAAAATTAAGTTTTATTTTAATATTTAAAGTATGTTTTTGATAAACATTTTATTTTTTAATTTAAATTTATATATAAAAAACTATAAACTTTTTCTAAATAAAAAATAACATTTAATTTTAGTTTTTTCTAGTTTCTAAAAATATTTTAATACCCATATTCTAAAATTTAAAATTAAAGAGATTTTTTAAAAAAAAAATATTTTAATTGATTTTTAAGCCTATTTTCATCATCATTTCAAAGATAGGGTTTTGTTATATGTAATTTATGTAAAAAAGTAATATTATCAACAAAACTTGTTAATTATTTGGAAAACAGTTCTACTATGCAAGGGTGGAAGAATTGAATAAGTTTTTGGAACTAACCTCTCGATTTTCCTTGGGAGTTGAGTTGATGGCCAAGCTTCAGAAATATGTCGTCACTCATCCTTCTCCCGGTGCAACGAAAACGAGAAGGGGGAAATTTGAATCCATCTGTTGTATATAATTTCTTCTGAAACTCCACCCAGTGGAGCCCCAAGGCGGGCAGGAAAGCGCTTAGAACTAGTAAAACTCCGACAGTTGCACAAATGAAAAATAGCTATTCCTACACCATTCGGATGATCAAACTATTGAACCTGCAGATGTCAAGAAGTAAATGGTTATCATCTTATTGATTCCTCCAATGCATTTTTGTTGAAAAGGGGAAGAAAAAGAAAAGGTGTGGCAGAACCAACCCCCAAGCTAGGAGTAGAACCTTGTCGTAAAATACACTCAAGAACTCCGAATGCGCTTGGCTGAGTGAAAGAAATTTGGACCTGAAGAACTCATTTGAATATATTTATACATTAAGAGTAAAGGGACTACTGTTATAAATCACACTTTCTAATATCTAGTTTTAATTTCAAACATCCCTCTAATTAGCATAGGTATTACTATGATAGGCTTGGTAGTCGGATTTATTTTTCACTTGCCGTGAATACCAGTTTCGTTAAAGCTAAATAACAGGAGGGTATGATCCTTACGCTCGTAAGATACATGAATGTTCAAATCCGTTTTAAAAATGGCAGGTATAATTTGTCAAAAAGGTAAAAAACTATGAATCTAAGTGTAGCAGCATTTAGATTAGAATAATGCTAAAATGTATTTATTTTTTACCTGAGGGCCCATAGACGTAGAAAGGATGCTGTTTTAGAAACTGCACCAGGTACGAACTCTACGGAATGTATAAGCTGGTGTACAAAAACCTCACTAACTCGAACTCCTCGTGGCCGTGGGAACCGTGGCATCGTTCCATTTCAAGATTGTTGTCTGTGCTGTGAAGTGGGAGTAGGATTGACCTTGGTGCCTCTGGCAAAGATGAGATCTAACATCACCTACTTCTTCATGTTGTTTCTTCAACAGAGAAGGTAGTGAGGGCAGACAGAATTAACGGATGCTGGAAGTGTAAAAACATAGTTATTAATAGTTGATTCTAATCAAGTATTATGAAAAGAAATTTGAAGCACATCAAAGCATGAAGAACCTGAAGGAACTTCTGTCCTGGAAAAAGCTGGTTTTCGCCTATATAGATCATTACGTGATACAGAGCTTGAGATCCAGAGCACCACGTTACAATTATGAGAAGTGAGAGGTAACCGCATAAACTGTTCATGAAAATCATCTGTGGAACAAATTGGTACCTGAAACAATGAAACAAAATTTACACTTGTTAGAATAAAGAAAACAGAATCTTCACTAGAATTTTAGGATGTGGTTTGAAGAGGCCTAATTGAATAATTTATAAAAACAATATTTTTTTAAAAAGTTTATTCATCAACTGCATATAATTGACTACATTACATCTCATTCAAGAATCCGCCATCCGGAGGAAAATTTTCAAACAATTAATTCTACGGAAAGACTGCCAATTAATTAACAATTCAATAAAGAAATGATTTTAATGATGATACAATGGATCCATCTTAAAGCAACTAACCAGATGTTAATGTTTTCTCCAAAGAATTTTGCTTTGAAGTAGCTCAATATAATTCCTCTGTTCATTTGAGCTACTCCAGTAGGATAGACATCGTCATCTTCAAAGATATGAGAAAAGGTAACTCACTTCGAGTGCCTTGCCACTTCGGATCCACGCCAAATGGATACGCGTCACAAACCTTTATTAAACCAATGGTATTAGTATCTCTGAAAAACGGAGGATATAAGTCACCCGCACGGAGGAATATAGCCCACAATGAATTGATTTACACTGTTTGATACCTGCATGAAGTATCGCGACAACAGTATGCAGAAGGCACAAACAATTCAAATGGGACAGCAAGAATTCATTATAAATCAGTCATGTGTAGATCGACAAAAGTGCCATCATCTTGATAACATAACGGGTCCCAAAAGTAATTTCATTGATATCTCGATGTTTCTGTCGTTAACAAGGTCAAATGAACTTATATTGGCAGACAAAGGACAAGAATTCACACTACAAGACATTGGCAATTACCTGGCTGGAAAAATTATTCTCCCTTATTATAAGATATAATGTTGCCAGCAATAAGCATATTCCATGGAAATCACTAAACACTACAGCAAATAGGAAAGGGAAAGTGACAATAGAGTAGACTCTACCCTGCAATTCACTATTTGCCTTAGGCATCTGCACATTAAATACGCTTGGAGATATCAAACAAATGAAAGAAATAAATCGACCAAAAAATTTAGTTAAATCTCCAGGACAAAAAGATGTCCTCTTTTTACCAATTCACATGGAGAACTTTGCAATTTCATATAGTACAACTAAAATGGTAATAACCACCGATATCAAATCACCCCACTTTGAATTAGTGGAGCTTTTTCCATAGGCACAGTATAGGCAACGATTAAACTTTGTCCCTTGCACTTCACTGGGTACCCAAAAGTCAAAACTTATATACAGACAGATGTGCTCACGATCTTGTACGTTCCTACCATTCCAATCTATCAAACAAAATAAAAGAATGTCATTTCTTAATTTCTGGACCAAGGAAATGATTCGAAATATTGCCAACATCCTTTAGTGGTCTCTGTTACCCTAACTCTTATATAATTCCTTCGCTTTCCTAAAAATAAAGTATGCAATCAGATTCCTGAAAGAATAAAAAGACAACGGAACTTGATTGAAAGAACTCACCCATAGTGGAAGGTATTCAACCTACGTCTTGGAATTTTATGCTATTTTGCAAGATTTGAAACAATGGCAAGACTAACTACTTTGCAACCATCTAGCCCTATTTTCTGATGAAGCAGCATAAGAGATTAGCATCCATTGCATAAGAGATTAGCATCCACTGCATAAGAGATTAGCATCAACAGAACTTGATTTCTTGCATGGTTTGAGGGAAATATTTAAGCAACCTATCCCTCGTAAACCTATCCCTCGTATAATTCCGAAAGGCTACCAACGAATTAAGAGGAAAGAGGACAAATGTAGATATCATGACGTGACAAGCCCAGGTTGATATTCTGATTTCACTACTGCAAATCCTCTTCTTAAATTTGAAAAGAAAGCACCTTTCAATCTTAGTAGGGAATTCACAGGATTTTGGATAGGAAGACGAGAATTAACTGTGATATGAGCAAGTTGAGCAACTTGTAACTCTTTTCATGCCGAGAAACCTGCTAGAAACTCTCTCAACAACTGCCAAAGCGAGGCAAAGGAAACTGGTATAGAAACTAATTGTAAACAACAATGCTGGACCTAATGTAGAATTGGTGGAAAATCATTGGTGATCATCTTTTCCCAAGAGGAATTGATGAAAACTTTTTTGGTTTTCGTTCAAAATGCGCTCCAGTTAAGGCAGGATGCAGTCTCTAAGCAATCTGAATCGAGATAGCGTAGCCAACTCATTTCCGACGCCAATTTTACAGAGGATGACAAGTTGTCCCTCTTAAAAGAAAATACTCTTCCTGAGATTACGTAGAAATCTGGAACTGAGCATAATGTTGACCGAGACTCAACATTAATTAGTTCATGGATTTGTGAATGATGAGCTCAGTGCAGAACTTCAAGGTTGATCAGAACCTCTCCATAATGGTCTCTAAAAATGACTAAACAATTTAGAATCTCAATCACTAGTGATAACTTTGATGTTGTTTAGTCTTACTCATTTCAAATTCTGAGGAGTCATTCGGCAAGTTCATGCTACATCCTTTATGACTAAAGTGTAAAGTAGGAAGAGAGTAAGAGGAGGGTGTGTTGTAACGGATGCAATCTTCTCTTCTGACCACATCCATCCAAACAAGAAAATAGTTGACTAATAGCTGAGCCATCTTTAGGTTTCTCTTACCATAAAGTATATAGTAGGAAGAGAGTAGGAGCAGGATTATATGCTTATAGCCAAACAAGAAGATGATTGACTTATATCTTTAATGAAGGACTACAAAAAGCAACAGTTTCAGAATATTCTGCTCATGCTTGGAGTGGTTGCAACTACCATGGAGTATAACGTACAGTTTTAATTAGTACGTATTTATAAGCTGCTCAGATGCAGTTAATGATATTTGGACATTTAAATACGGAATAGATTACCAGAGACAAAGAGAGCAAGAGAATAGACTGTAAAAAGTTCTCAAAAGCAAGAAGAATTAACAAAGTGCGACATTGTACAAAAACAATCGTGATTACCTCTGTAATAATCTGAAATTGTTTGACCAAGTCATCAGTGAATGGGTAACATTGCAAAAGCTCCGCATATTTTCAGAATTTTATCCTTTGCTCTCTCTCCAGAATAAAATATGACAAACACATTTTTCTCGACCTGGAATTCAGATGTGAGTTTTACAATGGCAAGACCTTAAAGAACAATATGGGGTAACAAATTATTTCAGCAACAATGAAAATAACTTTCAGGGAAAAAAAACAGATTTTGGTCCAGCTCCATATTTGTTGACTGTAACCCAATTATAGAAAGAGAAAACAAACAGAATTCATCCTTTTGTAAAGCTCACAACTGTAACTAAGGGATTCCCGTTGCTAACCTTCACCCCAGATACAGGATCAGTGATGGAACCATCAACCACAGCTTGTCTCAGACACATTTGCCCCTAGTTGAACGATAAAAAATTCATTTCAAAAGCCACTAGTTTAACTTGTTTCGTTGGATCCGTTGTCATTTCCTACAAGACGCAACCAAGTCCTAGCTACTACTCAAAAGAGCACAATAAATGTCCAGCCAATACTAAGACAACAAAAACATACTTGTTCCAATAATAAGGGACTGTCAATGGATCCTTCCCCGTTTTGCTGCACTTCCTGTTCTCTTTGCTCAGCTGCAGCTATGCTTTGAGCTAGATGGAAAAACTCACCAACCTGAAACCATATAAAAAGTAATAAGTCATCTTCTGCAGGCTGCAAATCACAGGAATTCAAAGTAGTTGCCATCAAATTGACAACATGCTAGCTTTATTAATCATAGATGATAAAATAACCTCGATGTATAAGTATGCAACATTACAAAAGAGTAAAGACCAACAGAATTATAGTAACTCCTTATCAATAAAAACATCCCATGCCTTCTCTGAAGTACAAGCTTATCTTCCAATTGCTCACTCCAATTGCGTTGTAACTTCTCGTTGTTGTCATTTATCTCTAACGACTGCCTCAAATTCTCCAAGTTTAACCTGTCAAAGTCAAGGTCAAGCTACTGGATTTAAATCGTTATTTTCCTCAACAGTAGAACGGAATGGTACTACACTAAACCCCCTTCAGCTTTATGCCACTGCTGCAACTATAATACACCAGTAGAACCTATTATCGACTAGGGACTGAAGTATTATATAGCTATTAATCTGTAAAGAAACTTATCTTATAAGTTATGACACTAACAGCGCAAGTATAGGCATCATCTAGAGGAAAGAGAAGACAGATTCAAGCAGAGTTCAGAACCACACTTGTGTGCCCAAAAACGAAAGGAAAGGCACAAAGAATAAAAAAATACTCAAATGTTGTGTTCACACACTACTTATAAGCATGTTGTCGTAGAGTCTATAGTACTTATTCATTACTCGTAATCACTAGACCAAGCCTACTATAACTGAAGTACACTCATCACAATAACGTTACATTCTCATGTCATTCAATCTTACTAGCTAGAAATCTATCTAGGTTCAAGAATGGACATATAATTTCTCAAAAGTTTCTATCAATGTTATACACCTCATTTCGCTTGAATACAAATCTGAAAACTTATCATGCAAGTTAATGAACCAACGATGACAGGAACATTGGCATCAAAGTAAGTTAAGAGTCGAAGAAAACTCAAGTCTCCAGGCAATTCATTCTGCCATATTATCAAAGACCTAATAGGCTAATACTGTCCATTTACGGCAATTATGTGCTGCTACTTATTAGAATCAGAACTTCCAATTTAGAAATGTAATCCTTGTCTCAAGTTCGCTAAAAGCTAGATTCAGACCTGGAACGAAGCTTTAAGCAAAAATCAGAGAAATAGTAAACACACCTGGGCAGCATACGTCCTCTGGAATGGGCTTCTAGATGCATTGAGCTAAAGAGGAAAAGTAGACGATCAGATGCTATTGACAAGAATAGAAAGTGCGGAATGCAAACAAGAAGCAAGCATTTCGACATAGTGCGATGATTTCAGTGAGACAAATTCTCAATGATGTCTGCCAATATAGAACATAAAATAAATCAGAATCCATTCAAGTAAACGTATACTTTTAAGATTAAAGTACAGTTCATAAATTATCATCAAAATAAAAATTGAAATTAAAGTTCACTTAGAAACCTACATTAGTGTTTACAAAACTAAATTCAAGTAGTAAGCTCAGAATTATAATGACATTGCGATTACAAAAAAAGAAACTGAACGTAACTCGATAACAAAGAAGATCCGCTTGTGAATAATGTAAATATATGTTTTGTATGCAAAAAGAAATCCACTTATGAATTCTTAATTGCTAAAGTAATCCAGGAGTTATCATCAAAAGAAAATTTTAAGATTAAAGATTGTGTACAGAACATGGTAAACCAACATTAGCCTTTACGAAAACTGAATTCAAGTAGTAAACTCAGAATCACAGTGACATTGACAATTACGAACAAAGAAATGGAACCTAACATGACAACCAAGGTGATTCACGATATGTAAATATAAATCTTGTGCACAAAATGAAATCAACTTGTGAATGCTTAATTGCTTAAGTATAGTCCAGGAATTATCATCGACAGAAAAAGAAGATCATGTAGAAAGCTTCAGAAATCTACATTAGCGCATACGAAAATGAAAAATCAAATAGCAAACTCAGAATTACAATGAAAATGACAATTTAGAACAGAAAACGGAGCCTAAATCAACTTGTGCGAAAAATGAAATCAACTTGTGAATGCTTAATTGCTTAAGGATAGTCCAGGAATTATCATCGATAGAAAAATATCAGATCACGCAGAAAGCTTCAGAAATCTACATTAGCGCATACGAAAATGAAAAATCAAATAGCAAATTCAGAATTACAATGAAAGTGACGATTAAGAACAGAGAACGGAGCCTAAATCAACCTGTGAATGTTTAATTGCTTAAGGATAGTCCAAGAATTATCATCGACAGAAAAATGTCAGATCATGTAGAAAACTTCAGAAATCTACATTAGCGCATACGAAAATGAAAAATCAAATAGAAACTCAGAGTTACAATGTAAATGACGATTAAGAATAGAGAAACGGAGCCTAAATCAACTTGTGAATGCTTAATTGCTTAAGGATAGTCCAGGAATTATCATCGACAGAAAAATATCAGATCATGTAGAAATCTTCAGAAATCAACATTAGCGCATATTAAAATGAAAAATCAAATAGCAACTCAGAATTAGAATGAAAATGACGATTAAGAACAGAGAAACGGAGCCTAACATGATAGACAAGAAGATCCAACACCAGATGATCATACATAATATTTGAATTGGAAGAGACCGAAATATGAAATCATCCGGTGCGCCGATTCATTAGAAATGATCAGATGCACCAATTGCATCGCCTCCGATAGCAGCAGATCCATGGAAAAACAATCACTCACTATCTCCGGTTAGCGTAAAAACACAACGCAGAAAAATTCCAGTCTCTGGATAAATGTCGAGCGATGAAGGTAGATCGTGAGGAAACTTCCGCGGGAAATCACGAACGGAAATTGCAACAAGAATCATATAATTTGTCGTTCCGCTAGACCGTTGGCTCATTTCGCGCTCCCTCTCAACGGCGTTTCGACGTACCTCTTTTTCTCGCGCCTGTAATTTGAAATTTCTAAGCCTGGCTCACACTTTGACCTTGCCTTAAATGCGCGGTTTAAAGTAAGGTTTCCATTTCTGTTATATATTTTGGATTTTATTTTACATTTTCCTCGACGTTTTTTTTCAAACCTCATTTTCTTACTTAATATATATATATATATATATATATATATATATATATATATATATTTTTTTTTTTTTTTTTTTTTTTTTTTTTTTTTTTTTTTTTTTTTTTTTT